TATATATATATATATATATAGGTTGAATATCATCTAGCTTTGAATATCTTACTTTGGTTCTTGGTTATCCTATTTATAATCATGATAGGTTGGATATCAGTCTTGTCCTAAAATCTTCACAGGTTTGAGATCAACTCAGTTAAAATCTCAGAGGTTGTTTGGTTATCCTATTAAACCAATATTGAACTCAACTGTATTTTTTGAAGACTAACCTCTACAAGATCTATGTTTGTGGAGAGAAGACTAATCGCTTCAATTTATTAATCAATCAAATTGAGATTTAAAATAAATTATAAATGACAAATAAATAAGATATACTCCTCGGTTAATATATATAACCAACATAAATACATTGATTTTCCCTCAGATATATACAAAAACCAAGAGGTATGTGACCCACGTTTTATGGTTTCGGAAATAAAAAAGTTTCGTTGTTGAAGATCGAACTAATTACCTCTACAACTACCTCCTCAGTAGAACAAAAACAGAGAGGTAAAATCCTATTCACTTTTGAGGTAGAATATGTTTTTTTTTTTGCAGTAACGAGTCTTTCTTGCCAATTCAATAAAGTTGTAAAGCATTTAAAAAAAATATTGATTCAATTTACTTTTGAAATATATATATTTTTTGTTCAATTGATTCAAATTCAGTTAAGAGATTTCCAAAAGAGTCAAGAGAGGCAACTAGAAGGGTAAACAAATCTTTTTGTATCGGTTGTTTAATTTCAATTCATCAGACATCAATGAACTTGTTGTGTAATAAGAGAAGGTATATTATAATTGCATATTTACAGAACTTTTTACGTGGGAAGAATGTGCTGATTGACATGAGCATAATACATACAACATATTTCAAGTCCATCATAAATAAAAACATTGATGATCACAATTATAGATAATAGTACCACTCCTCAGAACTCAAAAAAGGGTTGAATTTAGAATAACAACACCTTTGCTTCTTAATAACCCCCAAAGCAACAGAAGATGAATGTAAAGGCATCCGTGTAAGGGTAAGTGTCCTGCCATTTACCTTGCCTGAAGGAGCAGTAACCCCTTTTCCCTCCTAGACGAAGGACTTTCCATTGAACTACTGGTTGCACACATTGCATAAAATTCTGGACAAGGCTAATAAGCTCCTTTTTTCCTCGGAAAGTTAAGGGTTCTCGAAGCCTATCAGTAGACGCAGTCTTAGTGCTAGTAACATCATTGACAGAGGTTATACCAGAGCCATCTGTTTCTTGTACTCTACATAAACTCAAAACAGCCTTATCCTGACTTGAAATTCAATCAAGTAAAGACTAAAGAAGTAAAAATGCATGTCACATACATATAAAACCAAGTTATAATATTATTCTTTCATGAAACATCTACAAGCTTTGCGCGCCTAGTTTTTTTATATCAACCTCGACTCGAAGACTGAGCGCAGAAAATTCCGGGCGTATCAGCAGATCCCTGCAGCTGCAATTCAGAAACTATCTTTTGATTCTCCTCATTGCCCTCCAACATATTCCTAACAGACCATATGCCCCATTCTCTCCGGAAAGGATTATCTTCATCAGTAACACATTGCTGCAATAGCAATAGAACTCCATTCCGATTCCTCAGTTTATCTTGTGCATGCTTTCTTCTGTGTACACAGTTGCCAATAAGTGCAACTATGTCTCTCTTAAAGCCCTTGTAAGGGCATGGTTTCAAGGAACAACTAGCACCATCTTGATTCTCTGATTGTTTGGTTCCTTTTCTGATTATTGCCAGAGGTTCAAGGTCCCCAAGGACGATCAAAAGCAACTCGATGAGACCGTATGACAATAACACATTGACAACATCGGTTGCATTCTCTGCATTACATCCCACACTATCATGAGCACAGATGTCCCTCAATATAATAAGCGAGTAGCCAAGAACATCCACTGCAGTAATGCCACTTGGAAGACCAGATTTCCCTCTCACTGCATGCTCAAGAACTCCGGTCGATTTCTTGAATATGCCATAAACAAACAACACAACATCCTTCGAAACGGTAACATCTCCAATTCGCTCATTCAAAATTTCTGATAGGGTTCGCAGAAGAAATGCTTGTTCAGATGAAAATTGATCATCTTTTGACTCACTCTCTTCACCCTCGTGAATATCCTTAAATCGTAATTTAGAAAACAATAGAGGCAAGTGAGATTCTTCAAAGCAAATTCTTGAGAGAAGCAACTTTATCCAATCTTCACCAAAACTAGCTGGTTTCAATAGAAGAAGTAGAAGTCAGTGTTAGATCTTAAAAACCATAAGAAACAAATATGACACTCATGTGATGAATCATGGCAGCAAAGCAAATTATGGAAGCAACTCATAAGTCATGAAAGCTTAGCAAAATATAGAAGCAATAGATAAGTAACTATCTATGTAGCACGACACTTGATTTTGAAGCACGACACTTAGACATGTGGTTACATTCAATTATTCTATTTTTATGATTCACACCGACAAGTAGTTAAATTCAATTATTCTATTTTTATGATTCACACCGAGAAGTAGTTACATTCAATTATTCTATTTTAATTATTACCGGTGTTAATGCATCTGGTGTCTATATAAGTGCTTCATAGATAAGAAAACCAAATAAAATCAAAGGTATGCCATAAGAATGATCCTAGACAACAACATACGACAATGTGTGCTTCATAGTTAAGGAAACCAAATAAAAAATAAAATGGAAGTTAGAACATAAGAGAATGATCCTAGACAGCAGCAGCATAGATGAAACAAACATATAATACAAAGTAACGAGAAGATACAGTTCTCACTAGTTCTGCCACCACAGGCCAACCGCGGTCACTACAAAGCTGTTCAAACAATTCAGGATTTCCATCACAACATGCATAATCACCATACACAATGGATCACAAAGCTCCTTTGTTCCGAGTCTTGCAAGAGACAGAAAACCAGACGGAAAAAGCACTTCCCAAATAGCCCTCTGATGCTGCTTCCCAGCCAAAACCTGCAGACCCCACCGAAGCAACATGTGATCAGATTCAAAATCCTTGAAACAACAGCATCAACCCCATCAAACTCTAGAAACAGATTCTGGTTTATAAGTTCAGCAGCACACAGGTTTCTGAGAAGCTTGAAACACAAAGATGGGTTTGTGAGTGAAGTATGGTGACAAGTGCAGGGAGTCGGAGTTGGAAATGTGGATGAGAATCTGTAAGGAGTTTTGTAAAGTGTTGGAGTTGGAAACATCAAACACTAACTTGAGGGCATCATTATCATTCATTCTTAGGTTAAAAAGGTGCAATGGTTTTGATCAAAATGATAAACTGCAGCAGACAGAATGTGAATATTGGTGTCAAACGAGAAGCAACGCAGGAGATGACGGAAGGCGATGACGGAAGGCAACGACGCAGGAGGCGGTGATGGAAGGAAAGGGTGACGGAGGCGGCGATGGAGGCAGACCGATTAGAGTTGTTTGAACAACCTGCTTATAATTTTTTCTTTAAAGAAGAAATCAAGTAAGTTTATTTTTTGGTTCACACCAAATCACCAATATTCTCATTCTTCTCAAAATTTTATTTCTCTCTTGTCTTGTATTCTCTTTGTAATTAATTATAAATAAATTTAACTTTTTTTTATTTATATATTTGACAATTAATATATGTAAATCATATAAATCACATATATTAATAGTCAAATTTATCAAAAAAGTCATTTTTATTTATAATTAGTTACAAAATACATTTACAATATAGTTTGTCGATGGTTTTGTTGAGATTATTGTTCACGTTATTTGGATGGCATTTAATATGGGTCACATAGTTATAATTAACTATAATTTTTGACTTACAATTACATACTAAGACAGGACCTTAGCCACTTTTAGGAACTAGTCACTCTAATAGCATAGATACTAGAGCTAATGAGACATCCAGTCCAAACCAAGATAAAAATCAAGGGACAGGGATGAGAACCCCACCTTTGGTTGGAAATATTTCCTAGTGACGCTAAAGACTTTCACCAGCTCCCTTTGATTGGGACGAGTAATGAAAAGTTTAGAAGTTCCTCCATCTGCTTTTGATTAGGACTGGTGATGATTGATTGTCATCATGTAATTTTGTTAAGCATTCACACGTGTTTTAAGTTTTTTAGTAGAATATGTCTTAATTTAGGGAAAAGGAAAGGGATAATGGAGAAATGGAAGAAATATGGCAAAAAGGAATAATTGTGAAGAAAATATAAGTCGGGCCCCTGAAAAATCCGCGCCCAGAATCATGCCATGATCTAGCACTGAGCATCAAATCAAGACACGAAGGAAAGGCGTTGTGACACGATTCAACATTAAAAAAGAAAACCTCGACACGAAGGAAAGGCATTGTGGAATGATTCACCATTAAAGAAGAAAATCATGGCATGAAGGAAAGGCATCGTGGCACGATTACTGCAAGTTCCTGATGTGTTCAAAAGAAGGAAAAAAAAGGATGATTTGACCAAGGTTGGTAGTTTTAACGAAGATTCTTACGAAAGAATAATGCAAGGGAGCTCAGGAACGAAGATTTTCGCCATTGAATCACATTTCATATGGAGTTTCATGTCTTATTACTATATACTTATTGATGTGAATTTCTTTAACATGATTATCTAAGTTTCTTTCATATTAGGTCTTGTTAGATGAATATGTTGGGACATATGTTTGGTTGTTTTATATTATTTGCTTGAATTGATATTTCACTATTTTATTCAGTTAATCTCATATGTAAAGATTTTTATGCACTGACAAACTCATAGAACAAACTTAGGTTTGTCGGGGTTACTGACCCTAACTATGTAAACCTGAACTAGATTAGCCATGTATTTCTCCTCCCGTTTTCTACGTTCCTTCTTGGTTCATTTATGTAATTGTAGCACCCTGTATTGGAGAACGTGTATATATGAATTTGATATTTGGATATCATTGTTACTTGATTAAGGTGTGCGTGTAAGATCCTGAGTCTATTGCTTCGAGCTTTGATTTAACTTTACAAAAATTTGTTCGAAGTTTATTGGATGTTTTTGGGGCCATGCCCCAATAAGTGTTGAACAAGTAACCTCAAGCATAAGAGGGGGTGAATTTTGGTATTGAAAATTCGTGATTAGTTTTGACATTTATCGATTAAGATCGTATTAGTAAGTTTATAAGTGAGTAAGTGTTACGAAAGTAAAGTACAGGAAAGTAAATTGTGGAAAATAAAGAGGATAAGGATAGAAAGATTACACCAAAGAGTTATCCAGGTTTGGCCGAACACTGACATATTCTTGTCCCCAAGAGGTCTTCTTGAGATTTTCACTATAGACTTTTGAGCTTTTAAAGGTTATGCTCACGAACCATAATACAATATGATCTTGAGATTTTGAACAGACTTATCCTCAACCTAAAGACAACTTTTACTCCAGTTTATTCTATCGAAACAATCATAGATTTATTGTTGATTTCTTTAACTAAAACAAAGCTTTTTTTCGTAGCTTAATAAACCAATAACAAAGATTTATGATTAATCTCAAGAACCAAAAGTCAATCTCTTCTTTTTCCCTTAACTTTTTAAATTCCGCAATTTATTTTCTGCTATTTACTTTCCACTGCTTAGTTTTTAAAATATTTTTAAACTCTTATTTTATTTGTCTAAGTTTTTCAAACTCTGTTTTTAATATGAAAATGTTTTTAAAATCAAGTTTTTCCAAACATGCAATTGACTCCTCCCTCCTCTTGTGTGTGAAGTTTCAAGTCTAATAGTCGTCATTTTTCCACTAGAGTATCAAAGTTGATTGGTAATCGGCAGAGGTGGATTGCAACGGTGGACTTGAGCTTCCGATGCGGTGGAAGAGAGACTGAATTGTAAGGTTAACACTTTGACACCTAAGTCAATATGAAAGTGTAACGCGGTGGGAGAACTGACTTGGGATGTTTTGCGTTTGATCGCAATTGTTGCGGTTAGCAAGAGTCGCCACCGACTTTTCTTTTATTCAAAAGGAAAGGTTGAAAAGAACAGGAAATACCTTTCGAGATATTTTCTTGAGTTCAGGGGGTAGGTTATGAAAAGGAAAGGTGTTAGCACCCTTTTCATCTGTAGTTATTTACGGGCTCTTAGTTGTTTGCTAGATCACTTGCTTTTTGTTTGAAAGTGTGTTTGTGATGTGTTTTTTTGAAAGTATTTTGAAAAGAATGTCTTTGTAATGGTTCTCGTCTCTATAAGAACGCGTAAAAAGTATTTTCTATTTTTAAAAATGTTTCAAAGTGAAGTGTTGGTGTATAAAAATATTTTGTTATGAGCAAGTGAGCAACTAGGAGTAACCTACCTACTCAAAAGGTATTAAACGCTATTTTCCTCCTCCTTTAGATGTTGTTATCTTACCATTGTTTTGGTAAGAAACCCCATCGTTGGATGTGAAGGGACGAGCGTGAATCAATTGTATAGTCATATAAGGCAACCTATGAGACGTTTTATCAATTTTCATTTAGGGACTAGATCGTTTACCGAAGGCAACATCGAGGGACATCGAGGGACTACGATCTTTTATCGAGGGTCTTTGCTAAAACGCCCATATTCGAGGGACATGACTATTTTCCTAAAGGCAACAAAGTGGGATTATCCTAAGGGTGCTAGTGTTCAAGTGTGTTTGATTTACATGCATTTAGTCTTGATTAGGGTTTTCTATTTGTTGATTTTATGTCTTTCCATACAAACCCTATCTTACTAGCGATTATATGAAAAGCGGTAAACTTGCGGAAATTAAAATCCTACGCTATTACATCATTAGGGGGATGGGGATACATTTTTCAAATGGGGATGAAATAGGTGTCTAATCATTACAACCATATCGAATAAGTGGACAGTGACAGTGTAACACCCCAATTCTACCCGGCAAATTATATAAATAAATCAGTGTTATAAAATTCAATCATGCAAACGAATCGGGACGTCACAAATTCTTCTATATAAAATTCATTGCATTCATCGTGGATATATAACACTTTCAAAACATCGGATGAACCATCATAAAATCTTTAATTAAATAATTCAACAACTACGCAACGGAATTCTCAATTACAATTTCATCATCAATACAACAACTTCAAAACAACACAATTTAATAATAATCAATAACCAAAAACAACAAGCGTTCATCCCCTCGAGTGTTACATATCAGAGCAATGACACCGACTCGAACTACTGAAGGTATACAACATTCACTCTCAATTACCTGCACGTTACCAACATAAGGACAACATTCAAACAGAAGGGGTGAGATATCTAACAATATAATAAAGCGCATGCTAATTAATATATTAAATTAGATCAATAACATCACCACTTCTCATCTCATAATCAACAATAGTTACAACGCATATACACATTCATCAACATCAAAATACACTTCTTTATGCAATCATATAATGCGACTCAATACTATGCAAATACATGTGGTACCATTGGAGCAGAACTCCCATATCAAAAATTTGCCAATTAATAGAGGCATCAACAAGGCATAAGCCTTCATCTCAAAGTTCTCCAATACAGGCCATCTCAACGAGCATAAGCTCCATCTCAAAATGCAATGTATGCGACACAATCATGAATCTAATAAAAACACCACAACTAACAACATCTAAATACAACATCATCATTGGCCAAAGGCCTACATCTCAAAAGCATCTCAACATTTCTTCATCAACATCTCATATCATAATAACTCATCAAACGTCATTTATTTATTATAAATCATCAACACAACATTATTAGCAACTTCTCAGTAACAACTCAGTTGTACATTAACACTACAGTATTTCATACTGATATTCTGCATTTCTTACATCGTTATTGTCACTAAATCCTACAGTTATAATTCAAACAGCAGCCTCTAAGCATCTCATCTTCATCATTCTGTACAAAAACCAACATAACGATCAACACAGGAACTAATTCTAAATCATAAATTGGCTACTAGGATTACACTTCCTATTATTCATTTTAATCCTCTAGAATAAAGTTCGTCGCGTTAGCTATCCAACACTTCGAACGACATCTAAAACGGCATCCTAAAACTTAAGTTACAACACTTTAAAACTGAATCTGCCAAAAATCAGGCATTATGGGTCGACGCAAAACCCCTTGGATCGACGCGTACTGCTCTAACTGCACAACATGAGTCGATGCATCCTCTCATGGATTGACTTATCCTGAGTCTTGCACACAACATGTATCGACGCAAAGCCTCTTCGTGGCACGATTACTGCAAGTTCCCGAT